AAGAATATAAAACATCCATGAAAGAACCAGTAATCTCCTGTAGCCACAGGACTGAGATTTGGGAAAACCAGATCCACAGTCGAATCTAGTGGTTGGCTGAATTACAACACAAATGCAATTCCTACTCTCTCAAGGTACCTTCTCTTCATGTTAGAGCACTGATTGAGAATGAATGGGATCCTGAATATTTGAATGGGACATATATGCAGACTTTGATGAAGTTGGGTACCTTGAATCCCTAAATTCTGTGAGATACATTTTTAAGTTAAAAAACAACTTCGCTCCTGCCTGAAGAGTTTATTTCTCCTCTGCCTGAAGGACCTGCAGTAGTCTCATCTGAGATAGTGGCCTTGCAAGACACTGTTGATCCTCCTGAGAAACTGCACCCACCACGTTTACTTCCTTCAAAACCCTGTAAGACTCAGGTTTCCACCAGCCCCAAACTGGAAGGTACATGAGTGTGACCCATTAGTAGGGGTAGAATTTACTACAACAACTACTGATTTTTTTCCCCCAATGCTAATAGGCAGAAGCCTAGAGACTTTGTGTGGAAATGGTTCTTGAGGGTGGGGTATGATGGTAGAAGAAAAATAAATTCAAGTCACACCAAATTTATTGATATAGAGTCATTAAGCGAAGGCTGTGGATTCAGTGCCTTTGTTTGAGAGGTTAAGGATGACTCTAGCAGTTTGCTTGGTTCATTAACTAAAATAAGGAAGCAATTGTTAACTATTGTCAATTAAGGAGAAATTCAAGGACTTTCTTCATATACTCCAATGGCTTTAAGACATTGGAATGTTAGAGTGAATTTATCATGGAACAACTGCTCAGACATGCTGGTAGGTCCAGAGGTTGTGACTTTCACCAAGGCAGTGAGAAATTACTTTGTAAGGGGAGCACAGAAATCTGTGAGGAGCTTTGTGTTGGCTCTCTTCTTTAGTGAGACATTACTTGCCCTTGAGGAAAGATCATGCTACACTACCAAACAACCACGCTGTTAATCGTTGTCCCGACCTTCCTCAACAGACCTGTGGCCAGTTATTAGAGTGGCAGTGCATGATGGAAAAGTAAATAATCAGAATTCTCGGGGATCACTTGATAATGACTTTGAACTGGTACTAATTCCAGGAACCCAAAATGTCACTATTAGAATGTCAACTCTTATAATAAGAGCTGTAGTTTCTGGTAATCATGTGGTTTTACATCAGGTAATCCATGTGGTTTTACATTGGGTCCAATGTACAGTGGACTGAGTTGTTCTGTGAATCCACCCTCTGGGTGTTCCCCTGTTTCAGAATGCACAGTTGGAGACATACTCAGTGACTGGCAGAATATCCACAGAATACCCCTGACCTGTGGAGTGAGGGCTGCTATGGATGGGAAGGCCAAGTAGAAGCCACTAAAACTGCCCTACTTATGAAAATTGTGATTCACAGGCAGTACTACTTTCCTGGAGGGACTGTGGTAACTGGTGGTAATACCAAGCATTTGAAAGACACAGACAGGTGATTCTTCAGCCATCCGTTTCAACTGAACTATTTGTCCTGTGCAGAAATAAATGGATTTTGGGCCAGACATGGTGGCTCAAGCCCGTAACCCTAGAACTTTGGGAAGCCAAGATGGGCCGATAATTTGGGGTCAGGAGTTCAAGACCAGCCTGGCTAAGATGGTGAAACCCTGTCTCTACTAAAAAAGACAAACAATTAGCCAGGTGTGATGGTGTGCACCTATAGTTCCAGGTACTCAGGAGGATGAGGCAAGAGAATTGCTTGAACTGGGGAGGTGATGTTGCCATGAGCTGTGATTGCACCATGAACTTAATTAAATTGTTTTTCCAACTGCAGCTGCTGTACCACAGGTGGTTTTGTTCCTTTAGCAACTGTGGCATCCCTGGGAATCTCATATAAAATGGTGAGTAGGTGAATGTGTTTTTTTTTTTTTTCTTTCAGTAATTGTCACAAGCAAGAGTTTGGGTTTAGCTGGAAAGGCTGGCAAAGCACTATCACCTCCCATTTCAAGCTTATATCAACTCTCTAAGCTTACATCCTAAACAAGTCCTCAGAGACCTTGACCAACTTTCCCTTACACCAGATGTGACATCATTCTTTGCACTGATGACTTTATGCTGACTGAGCAGGAGGTAGCAACTAATCCTGATACATTAACGACACGCTTGCAAGACATTATGTGTGAAATAATTCCCACACAAAATGAGAGGCCTTCTAACTGGGTGAAACGTTTAATGATCCAGTAGGCCCACATGTCAAGATGGTGCTTATAAGGTCAACAGCAAGTTCCTACATCTTG